ATCAAAATAATACCAAAAATCATTATATTTAATTAAAATTCGTAATTAATAATTAATAATTAATTTACGTGGACAAATATACCCTTTAGTTTACATCTACAAAGTACAAACCTCAACCTCCTACCCATTTTCTACAACCCTAGCTATAACCTCCCACCACCTATACAAGCAGCCACCCCAACGTCCAGCCGCCCCGCCGTCCAGCCGCCGCCCAGCCGCCCCGCCGCCCAGCGCCGCCTCCATTCAAGAGCTCCGGCCTTGGAGCACACTCGCTGACGAAGAACTCTGGCTTGGGGCAGGTTTTCGCGCGACCTGATTGCCAAGGCGTCGTTCGAAGTCTGCCTGCCGTCCAGGCGTCGCTCGTCGTACAACCTCCGTGCACGGACATCCAGTCTAGAAGCAAAGTCGCCGTCCTAGGGCTTCTATATCTCCGGAGTTGCAAACGAGCCGTACAGATCTAAGCGCCGTCGTACAGATCTAAGCGCCGCCGTCCAGATCTGGGAAACAAGGTGTGGCAAACGAGCTGTGCAGATCGTTCAATAGCTTCCTCTACGTCTTCGACGTCCACCATCCTCATCGTCATCCCACTTTAAAGCAATCCATCAATCTTCAATTTTAGAATCGTACTTGAAAAAAAAAAATATAGGTTCCAATAGTACTTTAAAGAAAAAGAAAAAACTAAAGCTTATTTTAAAACAAATGAGGGGTCGATTTAGGTTCCTTCCTTCCACTTGTCGTGCTAACAGTCTAGCAGCTACTAGGAGGCTAGGAGCAGCTTTTGGTAATAGGGTGTAAAAGGGTTAGAAATGCCATTTTTGCATAATGTTATACTATCTTATTTTCGGTTTCTAAATACTCCATATATCACTTATCTTGTTTTCAGTTCTTGTTCAATGAACAATGATTCATTATTTCAATTCCGATTTGAGTTACTTTGTTTACTAACAGAAATATTTTCCAGTTTTCCAGAAAACTGGAAAACTAGAAAACAGAAAACAGGAAACGTGTTTACCAAAAAAAATCCTGGAAAACTAGAGAAAAGAAAACAGAAAAACGCGTTTACCAAATCGTTTTTCAAAACGAAAAAAATGAGACATATCTCTCTTTTCCTTAATGATTTAGAGAAGTGAATTTTACTAGTTTTTCAAATTTGGAAAACGCAGATGCTACAGTGCCGCTGCAACGAATTTGCATACTTACACCTAGTGGTGGGTCGGTCCCGCTCCGATGTCGATTCCTTTTCGGTCCCTCCATCCTCGTACCTTACCCCTACCCTACCCTACCCACCCAACCCAACCCTACCACCATCCTACCCCACCCCCACCCATACCTTCCCTACCCCGATCCCTACGAGTAGGTATGGGTGTGTATCGTCGCAAAAAAAGGTATGAGTGTGTATGAAGGGTTGTAGGGTGTAGGGTGAGAGTATGGGTAGAGTGTAAGATTATGGTAAGGGTAGGGGTCAAGGGTGTGGAATTAAGTGTAGTGTGTAGGGTGGGGGAGTTATAGGGGCAGGATTAGGGGTATGGGTACACGTACGAGGTGATCGACCCCACATATTATATTATATATTTGTGGTCATGAATGTTTGTGTGTCTATCTATGTATAGGGTTGTTTTGGACATTTTAGTGTTAAACGGTGTTTTAAACCTTTTGAAGTAAACATGATTTTACAACATTGCTTAGTTTATGTGTCGCTTATTAACGCGAGTCTTAATAAGCACCATTTAGTAACCCGTGAAGTAAACGTGTCTTCAGTCTTCTGGATGATCACAGAACTGGTTGAAAAATTGATGAACATGTTTTCAGATTTGAAAATGAAAAACTAAAAAATAGAAACAGAAAATTGGAGATAGAAAAACTGAAAAATGAAAACAGGAAATTGGAGAATGAAAAACAGAAGTAGAAAACAGGAAAATATTTCTGTTAGTAAACAGGCCCTCAGTTTTTTTTGTTCACGAGACAAGAGGTTTGAAGAAAGTTCGTTCAATTTAGGGGTTGAGAGCATTAAATATGTGCATTGAACATTAGCATTGAACATGACAATAAATGTGAATATAGATACGACAATAGATATATTGTACATGACATTGAATAAATGCATTAAGGAGGTTTGTCGTGCAGTGATTATGACCCGTAATGCAGTAACATATAGCAGTAATTAGATATAAAATAATAAAATTATCAAATCTAAAAAATAAATACTATGTAAGACAAATTTCTAAAATGAATAAGAAGATAATTAATTTTGAAAAAATGCAGTGATTATTACATGTGCATTAGTGTTGTGCAGTAATAGTTTATGGAAAATCTATATAATAAGTTCCAAAATTTTAGGAGGTGTTCAAAAAATATATGCTATCAAACCAATCTGAGTATATATACTTCCTTCGTCCCTTATTACTTTGTTATTTTTTTAAAAAAATATTCTAAAAAATTTGTCACTTTCCTTTTTAATTACTCTCTCCGTATTTAAAAGTTTGTTACACTTTCGTCCTATTTGGGATGCATTTAAAAGTTTGTTACGCTTTCCCCTTTTGGTAAGTTTTTTCCTTCAAAAATACCCAACTACCCTTACTTTTCACTTTTTATCTTCTATTTCCTACTTTTTCACCTTCTCTCTTACCTTTTATACATTACTCCATCCGTCCCCTTTTAAATGGGACGGGAGATGATGACACGGGTTTTAAGAAAAGTGAGTTTGTGTGGTTGATATTAATTGATAAAGTAAGAATAAAGTAAGAATGATTTTGAGTCACACAAAGTTTACCAAATAAGGTATGGGGCAATTAAATAGGGACATCTCAATATGGTAAAACGGGACATTTAAAAGGGGACGGAGGGAGTATTCATTACTCCTACTATTTCCCCTTAAAATATTGTGTCAAAGTGTAATGTAATTATTTTTAAAATACTAAGAGAGTATTAAATTTGTGATTCTTTATGATTTTTCTCTTTATTTTTTGAATAATATGATTTTTCTCTTTTCTACACAAGTTTCAATAGTACGTAGTATAAGTTTTACTTTACTCCCTCCGTATCACATATATCTTCCCACTTTCAAAGTGGGTGAGATTAAGAATAGTGAAAGAGGATATAAATTATTGAAGGTATGATGGGAAGATAGTGAAATAATATGATGGAATGAAGGATAAATCCAAAAAAAGTAGGTGTAATAGTGTATTATTTTTGAAATTATTGAGGGTATGATGAGAAAATTTAGAAATGGGAAGATATAAATGTTACGTCCAAAAAAGGAAAATGAGAAGATATGAATGTTAGGGAGGAAGTATTATTTTGAGATATTACCCAAAATAGGACTAAAAAGGTTTGAAAATTCCAAAATAGGACTGTCATGTTTTTATTCCCAAAATAGGACTAATTACTGCCATGTTTTGGCAGTACCAGACTTCAAACATGGCAGTATTTTTCAAACATGTCAGTAATTACTCCTATTTTGGAAATAAAAAACTTGGCAGTCCTATTTTGGAATTTTCAAACGGTTTTAGTCCTATTTCGGGAACTTTCCCTATTATTTTTCGTTTGTTGGCTAGTACTCCGTACTACGTACGATGAGAGAGTGTTCCAATAATTTCATTATTACTCAAATGTCGGTAGATACATAACAGGCCGGCACCCTATTAATACTTCGTATTAAAGAGTGCTATGAAAAGGTAGGTATGAGGTATAGTCCCTCCTACAAAAAAAGATACCCCTTTGTCTCAAAATTATCTTCATACTTTCATTTTCGGTTCGTTTCAAATTTATCTCCTCTTTCCTTGTTTGACAAAAAATTGTGATTTACAATCATTCTTACACACTACTCTCTCCTGCACAACTCTCCACCACACATTTCTCACTATCTTAAAACATGTGCCCAGTCAAATAAGGAGATAAATATGGGATGGAGGGAGTAAAAAATGCTCGATACACAATTAATGTCGGTCAAATTGTCTTTGTACACACAATTTGACCGGCGTTTTAAGATGAAAACTGGTTTTCATACTAACAAAATAAAATTTTTAGTTGTATCACAAATATTTTAAAAAATTGTCTGTATAACATATATTTTATGAAAAATTCTCATTTAAAATGACTATGATACATACATTTTTTTGTCTATATCACACTCATTTTATCAAAAATTCTCGTTTAAAATGTCTGTGTTACAGATAATTTTTTTTGTCTATGTGGAAATCAAATTTCTTCCTAAAATGCGGATTAAATTGTCTGTATCACAGACATTTTACGAAAAATTTCGTTTACAATGTCTTTGATAAAAACAAAATCTTGTTTTTGTTTGTGTGAAAAATGGTTTTCTTCATAAAATGCTGGTCAAATTGTCTGTACACAAACAATTTGACAGACATGTACAATGTCGTGTACACGAAGTGGGTCTGAAAAAGATAACACCCCATTCCTGAGGGTCTCTCAACATCCATTGACAATTAACTAAAAGGATGTAAATTGGACTTAATTACAAGCGGACAGATAGCGGGTGAGACTTAGGTAGTGGTGGAGCCAGAAAAATGGCTCAGAGGGGTCAAAAGTCAACATATATACAGAATGAAAATGGTGGATTGTTTTTAAACAATATCCGAGTTGAATATTTCATATGCAGTTTAGATAAATAGGCACTCGTAGCAATACGATAGATTGTCTTTGTTATGTTTTTGAGTCGTGTCACGTAAGTATTGAGTAAATTATACCATATTCTTAAAATTTGGAAAAATTATCTATAGTATACATCAAATTTTGTTGATTTTACGTTTAGATAGTGATGATTTTTTCAGAAGTCATAACTTTTTACTCGTAATGAATTACCGGGGCCATAATATATCAAATCGAAGATATTTCAGAACTCTATACTCTCAAACTTTCAGCGAGGTTGGCTGACCACCCAGACCCCCTTGTCACCGGCCCTGGGCACAGGATGAAATACTTGTACAAACTCTATGCATTTTTACGTAGTAACATCTCATCATAGTTGCCAGAATTCAATGGAGTCTTGCCCCTTGCAGCACCCTCTATCTACCGATTGAACTATGCCCAGCAGCTAGCCTCCTCCAAATTTTGCACATCTGATCAAAGCGAGCTAGTATCCAGTGAAACTTCACACTCCAACAAATTTTGCACATCTCTATTTATCATCAGTGTTACTGATATTTTTGATAAGTAATGTTCGAGTGTTCATTTTCATTAGTACGAACATGACAGTGTGACTCCCATGCGGGCATCCACTGAAACTTCACACTCCAATGTAATATGTGGTTCAAGACTCAAGAGTACTCCGTATTTGATTTATAAATCTTAGTTTCTTCACATTCCTAAATCACTCAGTATTCTGACTGCGTTTCTTTTGCTGCTATCTCCAGAAAAATTAATCATGCCCCGTTTCTCACTCCAAGGTGCATATTCGTCTTTGTTTGCAAATTCCAATGCATTTAGACTAGAGCTCATAGTGTATTCGCTGGTTGTTTTGATTATATATAAATAATTAAATAGTCATTTCATATATTTTATTCATATGCGCGTTGCATCTCATACTCTGCATTGTTTTAGCAGTGTTGGGAGCTCTGGGTTTTCTTTTTTGATCACTCACTTAGCAATGAGCTTAGAGCTAGAATTGATGCTTAAATTGTTTTTTGGGGTTTAATGCGTCAATTCTAGCCTCCTATTGTTAACTTGGTGGTATTTAATAATCCATTTTGACTTTACAATGAGTGAAAGATGAGTGCATGATAAAAAAGAAACAATGATGTCGCAGCAGAAGATTGAATTGATTTGAGTAGACAATATATTAAGTACTACGTAGTTCATTTTGATTGAACTGTCTGTATAGGTTTCTAGCTTGTCATAGATGCTTATGGATCATCAGCATGGAAAGTTGCTGACCAAGCTCTTTCAACAAATTCGGCTCATATGATCAATTACCTCAACAAGATACTACTGGAGGAGGACGCTGACGAGAATAGTGATGACTTGTTGTTCCGTGATCCTGCTGTGTTGAGAGCTGCGGAGGATTACTTCTATGAAGCCTTGGGTGAGAACCTCTCGCTTGACAGCAGTGTCGGAAGCCCGGAAGGCATCTCAGTTGGAACCTCACTGTGTCTCCGTGCAGTCTTCTTCATTAAACGGTTCTTTATATAGCTTTGATAGTGCTAATTTGCTTCGAAATATACATTTTGATGATGAAGCCACCTCCATATTCCAGTTCCATAGTAGTCTGGAGGAAGCTAAAAAATTCTTTCCTTCCATTAATCCAATGGTCATCCATTTCAGCGATAAATACCCATTGGAACTAGAGTCCGAGGAACTGAACAGTGGTAGTGCTGTGAGGGTAGAGATGGATCATTCTGCTGATTCGTGTAGAGGAAGAAAGCACTATCGCGCATGTGAAAGTGGGCTAGAAGAAGAAAAAGAAGAGGAAAGGAGCAGGAAGCAGACTGCAGTTTATGAGGAGGACTTATCAGGGGCGTTTGATAAGGTTTTTCTTTGTGCGGATGATGATGATGCTGACTTTCCATCTGTAGCCGAAAAGCAACAGCAGAAAGGTCGAAATGGGCGCAAGAGCCGTTCAAATAAACAACGAGCAGATGGTTGTGAAATTGTTGATCTACAGCCCGATTTGATCAGTTGCGCAAAATATGTTGCTGAAGCAAATTATAGGGCTGCTGTAGAACAACTAGAGAAGATTAGGCATTACTCTTCGCCTACCGGGGATGCAAATCAGAGGCTGGCACATGCATTTGCTGATGGTGTTGAGGCACGGCTAGCTAGAACTGGGCTGCAACTTAATGCTTCATCATCACTTTGCAAGATGAATAGCTTTCCAAGTTATGCTTCTGAATTGCAAAAGTCCCGCCTGTCATTATCCATGCCATTTATGAGGATATTTATCTTCTTTGCAAATAAGATGATTTATAATGTAGCATCAAGAGCCGCATCACTCCACGTTATAGATTTCAGCATTCTTCATGGTATCCAGTGGCCCACTCTTATTCGGGATCTTTCACAAAGACACGGTGGCCCTCCAAAACTTCGAATAACTGGGATTGAGATTCCCCAACCTGGTTTTCGTCCATCTCAAACAGTAGTAGAGACTGGTTGTCGTTTGGCTAGATATTGCAAGCGTTTTGGTGTACCATTCGAGTACAATGCCATCACAGCAAAGAATTGGGAGGCACTTAAGATTTCTGATTTGAAGCTCAGGCGGGGTGAGGTGGTTGCTGTTAACTGTAATGGTCGATTGACAGACCTTCCAGACGAGACAACATCTGGTGTTGACATCCCTAGGGATGGTGTTCTAAACTTGATTCGGGAAGTAAACCCTCATATTTTTGTCCATATTACGCTTAGTGCATCTCACAGCTCTCCTTTCTTTGTCAATCGGTTCAAATCGGCTCTATTCTTCTACTCTTGTGTCTTTGATATGTTTGACGCTATTTTCCCACTCCATGACAGTCAAAGGTTGCACTTCGAACATGCGGTTATGCGGCCCGTCATAACAAATATCATAGCATGTGAGGGCATGGAAAGATTTGAGAGACCTGAAACATACAAGCAGTGGCAGTGTCACTTTATAAGGGCCGGGTTCAAGCCTCTTCCTCAGAACCCTAATATTGTGGAGAAATTGAGAGCTAAGGCGAGGGAGCAGGTTACAAAGACTTTCTGTTTGCTGAAGATGGCCATTGGGTGCTGCAAGGGTGGAAAGGTCGGGTTCTTGCTTGTAGCTCTGCCTGGGTAATTCACAACCACTGATTGATTGTACCATGCGTAACGTAAGCGAACTTTGCATTTCATGAAACGGTACACCTAATTAAGAGCTCATGAACTTCCCGTACGCCACGTCTTTCAATTTCGGAAGTTTTAAATTTCTTATTTCCGGATCAATTCTTAATTAATTAGCAATTTGGATTTTCATGAGTTTTTATGGGAATTCTGGATGTAAATTAGGATTTAACGGTCTTTTTATATAATTTTTCATATAGCTATTAGCTACAAGCTAAGCTCTTTGTAATCATTGGTAATGTATGATTGGAAAGTATTGCTTTTTAAATTTACTGCTACTATACTCGTGTGATGCACGTGGCGACATATTCTTATATTTTTTTTCTATGTTTTACAAATTAAAATGCTACGAGAAGATACATTTACTTCAAAGACAATTGAATATAGTTTATAATAAAAAATGAGCAACTATAGTTTATAATATTATGCCAAATGAATATATAAAACTAAAACATTGAGAATTGAGAAAGAACTACACATTTTGAAAAACTTGGATGTAAGACAATTAGAGAGTTTTTCTTCAATATTACTTGATGGATAAAATTATCAACGTCTTACCGATCTCTTCCTAAGCTTCTTTAGTGGCTGGCCGAGCCCAGACATTGACTCGGTACCTTAGTGAAGTCGTGAAGATCGAACTCAGCGTTCGGTCGAATAGCTTCAACGGTCATCATGGAGGAGTCGTTATGCGTAAATATTTTCTGTATTTATCGACTATAACCCCTCACCTATAAGAGGGGCATCCCACCATCATTTGGAGGGGGGCTTCCATGGCATACAAACCAATATAGGAATTATCTTCACTGAACTATTCGATTATTCGTGAGTTTGGGGTCCTAAACTCACGCCTGAGTCGAGCTTAATAAAATGGATCCTATACATAGTGTTTGTTTATCATATAAATTCACTGAAATTGAATGGTTAAATATCATAAAAACGCAATATTTCATTAAAAGTCTTCCATTATCACACAACGACAAAGAATGTATTAAAAAATACTTAAGTAAAACCTGTCGAACAGTTTTAGATACATAATTTAGTGGAATTCTCAATAATATATACTACTAATTTTCTCTACAAAGCAGCCCTCGAACAAACTTAAAAAGTGCAAATCACCGGTTCCCTTATATAAGAGGTTCTGTCTGACCTTCGCCATATGGGGTGGTTTCCAGTGTAATTTTATCATGAAAGTTTTTGAGCATCTTCTTCATTAAGTCTAGTTTATCTATACCAAATTTCAGCTAAAAATTCAACCAATAAGGCAGTTAAATGATTTTCTGAAATATATTGCGCAGTTTAACTGCACAGTTATCTTCAAAAATTCATTTGACTGCCTTCCCGATTAAATTTTTTTACTGAAATTTGGTATGGGTAAATTAGACTTAATAAAGAAGATTCTCAAAAAAAAAAAAATTACACCGGGAACCGCCCCAAATGGCGACGCCCTTGGAAAATGCATAGGTATAATAATAGTAATGTTTAAAAAATTATGGGTCCCTAATTTTTTCATTTTTGGGGGGCCTGAGGCTTGGGCCTCTCCGGCCTAACATAAGGCACAAGCCTGGAGGAATATTAACTTTTAGAAAAGGGAAATTGCATGAGTACTTCATATCTATGAAATTTAAAATTGTGAAATACTAAAAGTATAATGACTGAATAATTAAAATGGTGTCATAACAACACAATATTATTGGAGAAAAAAGAACCATTATATTAACCAACAAAGTGTCAATCATTAAATTATTTTAAAGGAAATAACACTGATCTTATACCACCTATTTAGGTCCACTAGTCCATATAGTATACAGGCCACCACAATCAGTAAAATCAGTTTTGTCTTTGAAGAGATAGAACCCCTACATATACATACATACATACATACATACATACATACATATAGAGAGTTGTTCGAGTCAGGCGGCCTGACCGGACAGCCCCGTGCGGACTTCCCCGTTTGGGGGTCTTCCCGGTGGAATTTATTGATGAAATTTTTTGAGCATGTTTCTCATCAAGTCTAGTTTGTTCATACCAAATTTCAGCTCCAAATTCGATCGGGAAGGCATTCAAATCATTTTTTGAAGTTGACTGCGTTTTTATATGTATATTTTGGCGCAGTCAACTTCAAAAAATGATTTGAACGCCTTCCCGATCGAATTTTGAGCTGAATTGTTTTTGTGGATAAACTAGACTTGATGAGGAACATGCTTAACGTGAGAACGTGAGAACTCCACTTTTAAGTAGATGTGATGCACTATATCATGTATATGTTGCACATTTTCATGTTGACAAAATATTTAGAAATTTGCCCTCACATTTATTTGATATTAGCACGTTTTGATCAAAATTTAAAAAGTGAAGATGAGCCTCATAGTCCACCGAGATGTGTTAAAAGTGCATGGTTCTCACGTTCTCACATTAAGGTCTATTTTGATGCACTTTTCGAAAAGTGCATCAAATAAAGTTTATTCGAAAGTGCATCAGATAGGGGTTATTGTGCATCAGATCGACGCTTTGGACGGCTGAGATTAATTCTCATTTTACACGTTAAGATGTCTTCTCATTTGAACTCATCCCTATATATATTTATACACACACATATATATTAGTAAAGAGGACATATGCAGAAAAACAACAGCCTCTTTCCTTAGGAAAACAAGCCAAGGCAGCACTTATACAGGCGTATAGTACTCAGATGCATCTGACTGTTTTGACCCATCAGATGACTCATAGTTCTCGGATGATTTTCTCGAACACGCAACTGAATGCGATCGTTGACCCCCTATTTCGGAACAGGGAGATATCAGGGACTCCAAATTCAACAGAGCGATTTGCTATAAATCTCAGTTCATAACCTCAGACAACTGCATTCCAACAGAGAACTTGAACACCCAACTGCAAATCTACAGGAAGTCTCAGAAGAACAAAAGGCGCCACGCCATGAGGACTAGATCGCAGTCCAAACAATTTCCCTGGGTCTAAAATCTTTTTACTTTTTTTTGTTCTGTTGTGTATTTTCTTTCTGTATTTTTGTTCTTTCGTTTGTACTTTTTCTTTATATGAATAAAACCCTCTCTTTTCAAAAAAAAATATATTAGTAAAGAGGACAATTCATGTTGTGTTAGCCTGATTGGAATCGCTGTTAGGTCGAGACCATTTGGGACCCTTTCCGATGAATTTTCTTGATGAAATATTTTGAACATGTTTTCCATCAAATGTAGATTATCTTCATAAAATTTCAACTTAAAATTCAATCGAAAAGTCGGTTAAATAAAATATTGAAACATAATGCGTTTTATGTATATAATAATGCACATTGTGTTTCAATAATACACCACAAAGATCAAACATCTATCAGACCAGATTTAAAAAGACCAAGCCAGACTAAATTATACCAAAAAAAATTCAATCCGGGTAAAAAACATCTTTAGCGAGATGGGGGAGTACTTTTATTTAATACAAAGACTTGAGTGATGAATTGAAAATAGTAAAAGAGTTTATTTGATTCTTTTCTCCAATAACAACAAATTTATCTTTCAATATATTGTCTTCATGATGGTTCAAATATGTTTACAATTATCCGGGTTTTATGTTGCATTGAGTCATCTCTTCAAATCCAACAATCCGTATCGGAAAATGGAGAGTATCTATTTATTTGAGATTGGAGTAGAATAACACGTATATGCACATGTCAAGTACCTTGTGGTCTGATGACATCACTGCTGATCTCCCAAAGAAAGAGAAGGTCTTAGGTTCGAGTCTCGTCTCAATCAAGGATGTTGACATTAACAATAACATATACTATAATAGGTTTAGAAGAATATTCCAAAAAAACTTATATGGACATGACATCTATAGTTAAGCTTCATTTTCTAACGTATATATTTTATTTACCTTAATATTTTTAAAACTGTTTAAGAAAATCATCATCTCTTCTTTTTAGCTAATACTACCTCTGCTCTTTTTTAATTAAAAGAGTTTAACTTACATTTGTCAATGCACAACTTTGATTATAATTATACTATTTAATATCATATAAGTAAACATTATAAAAAATTAATATTTTAGAAATTCATATTACAAATTTCATAATATTTTATAAATAATAATTTGATTATATATATATATTAGTAGAAAATAAACGTGAATAGTGTGAAAATTGTAATTATTAAAGAACTGAAGAAATATCTAATATTCAAATTCTCCCTCTTTTTAAACCGTCACAGACCAAAAGCATGACAACAAGAATGTTACTCATGTCTCATTTATGGTTGAACAGGAATTGTTAGTGTCAATGCAAAATGTCTGAATGCAAATAAAAATGAGGTTTCAGTGTTTCACAAATTCACATGAATCCCTTAACATCTTAAAAAGCAAAAGAAATACTCCCTCTGTCCCAATTTGTTTTGCAAAATTTCCTTTTTTGGTTATCCCAAAATGAATTTCCACTTCCCATTTTAAGTATAGAAACATAACTAAAGTGAGAAGTTTGCCCTCCTTAACTTTTTAGTCTTCTGCCCCACTCGACTTCCACCCTCCTTCTCTTGAGTGCCTATATGGTACAACCGGGTGTACGTACTATACACCCGGCCCAACTAAGGAACACAACCAAATAACTAATATGGGCCAAAAAAGATTTGGTGGCATTCTTGTAATTTAAGTGAAAAGTCACGGCCTCCACTAAAATGAGCAATAGTGTACTTTTAGTGAGTATTTTACCTGTTGTATTCATGAGCATTAGGAGGCTAACAATGAGTATCACAATCTCTGCTTCATATCTTCTATTTTTTTTTCTTTTTCTTATTTTTTCTTTTATAAAAACTTATTAAATTATATCTATAATTCACTCCTATTAATTTCAATATGTGAGTCTAATGTAATATGATACTTTTGAAATATGACATTTAAAAATGAGCATAACATCAATACCAAATGAGCATACATAACTTGCAAAGTGCACATTGATATGAAAATCGTAAAATTTGTTAGTTGAACACCATGACATTTTAATTGAACATCAAACCTCCGCCATTGAGATGAAAATCGTGGTTTTTATTGAATGAGCATTAATATGACATTTTGAAAATGAGCATAACATGAGTACCAATTGAACATACATAACTTATAAAATGAGCATTTGATATGAAATCATAATATTTTTAATCAAGTATCAAACCATTTTCATTGAGCATCAAACTGCATGTACTGAGTATTAAAAACATACAATTGAGTTTCATGATTTGCACTCTCATATCTATAATCAACTCATATGTGAATCTAATGTAATGCAGAATATGATACTTTTGAAATATGCATTGATATAAAATTTTAAAATGAGCATAAAAACAATATCAAATGCGCATACATAACTTACCATATGAGCAATGACATGAAAATCATAAATTTTGTTAGTTGAGTATTAAAAACATTTTCATTGAGCATCAAACTTTCTAAATTGAGTATTAGAATCGCAATTGGGTATGATTAATCAAATTGAAAGAGGTATAATTATTTTGAATCAAATCTTCATTGCACTTTCAATATGTCAATCTAATGTAATATGACACTCTTGCAATGTGTATTGATATGATATTTTTAAAAATGAGCATAACAATAGTATCCAATGAGCAAATACAACTTACAAAATGAGCATTGGTACGAAAATTGAGTATTAGAATCGCAATTGGGTATGATTAATCAAATTGAAAGAGGTATAATTATTTTGAATCAAATCTTCATTGCACTTTCAATATGTCAATCTAATTGATGGATAGTCTACCCGGGGGGTATCTTATCCAGGGGGGTTATTGCGGGAATAACTAGAGAGAAGTCAGAGCAAAATAGGAGGAGAGAGAGTCGATTTTATTAAATGAACTCGAGATGTGGAGTTGAGATGTAGATCATGATTTACAAGGAGAAATGGGCTGCTATTTATAGCAGCAATAAATGCGATGAGAGTACACGTGTCAGTAATCCAACGGCCGAAGGGTCACATCAGTCGGTTGGCACCGGCAGTGGTACGTTTACCGCATTGAATGCGGTTGGCGGATGTGACGTGGTATTAAATGCGGTGGTTGGCTGTCTCCAAAAGGAATCTTCGATGATTGAGCTAGTTCAGCCGAAGGCTCCTTGTGTAGCCGAGGGCTCCATACGGTAAGGACCCTTGTGTGGCCGAAGGCTTGTTTCAGCCGAAGGCTTTTCTGATGCCGAGGGCATGAAAATGCCGAAGGCTAGTGTTTTCGCCTGTTTTCTCCCAGCAGCTTCTTATGCCAAAAAGGCTATCCTGTGAGTTCTGGAGCCTTCGGCCAAGGAGGCCGAAGGCATCCCAGTGTGTATTCTGAGCTATTTCGAGGTTTGGGCCGTTACACTTGGGCCTGAGTTGTTCTCTGGGCCCTATGGACTTGTGTGGGAGAAGTAGGAGTCTATGGGCCGGGGGTTCCTGGGCCATATACTCCATCAGGAGTCCCTCACTCCTTTTGCCGAAAGGTACTTGAGGGAAAAGGAGTAATTGCGTTGATGCGTTGTCTCCGCCGGTGGCTAATCTCTTTACCGGAGGGCTTTCCTGGTATTCGCTGATGGCTTCCCCTCAGTCCCCCACATGTCGAGGGTTTTCTGAGGGAAGCATAGATGAATTGCATGCATGTGTAGTGATGAAAGCTGCTTCATCATCACAAGTGACTTGTGGAAAATTTTTTGATATTTTGCTTCTGCCGAAGGGTATAGAGAAGTATGCATCCGGGGCTTCTACTTTGATGTTTGCCCGGAGGCTGTATGCATCACTTGTGAACTTGTTGCATTTGGGAATCTTTGTGTATTTTGTGTGTGATTCCCGAGGGGTGTATCCCAGTCCCCCACTCCTTTAGGCCGAAGGTAGGTTCGGGCTGAAGGAGTCATGATGTGTTGATAAGTTCCCGAGGGGGGTAACATTGATAACCCGAAGACTTATATGGCTACGGGCTGAAGGCATCTGGCGGAATGCGTTGGCAGAAGGCTGTGGTGAGTGATGGCCGGAGGCTATTATTCGAGGGCATCCCAGTATTGCCGAAACATAGTCGTTGTAATATAGCCGTTGGGGATGGCGGCCACGTGGTGCGCGCCTGTTGGTCGAAGGGGGCGGGAGTTGCCCATTGGCCGAAACCGCGGCCCGTAATGATGGGCTTTTCGAATCGAGGCCCATGTTTCGAGGCTGGGAGCCTATATATATCCCAAGTCCGGCTCCATTTCCCCTGTGCGTTTAGAGTTGAAGCGAAGCTCTGCCAATTTGTTTCTAGAGAGAGAAAGCTTTCTTCGATCAAACATCAGCTTCTGAGGTCAGTTCCCCCGCTTGTTCTTCGCATACTTAGCATATTTTGCTATTTGACCTTAGATCTTGTGTTATAGACGCTAAGAGCCTTCGGCCAGACCCTTCTACTACCACCTTCTCCTCACTTCTTCCAACGATCCTTCGGGTAAGATGTCCTCGCAAAGCGATTCACAAGACATCTCAAGGGAGCTCTCAGTTGCGGCAGAGAGTGTCTCCGGTGTGGAGTCTTCCAGCGAGCAGTCCTCGGCGAACAATGACCTTGCCATAGCTGAGGAGGTACAGAGCAACCTTCGGGTGGAGATGGAGGCGGAGGAGTTTGAACAAGTGGCCGAAGATGAAGAGATGGCCATCGCCATCCAGGTCGCTGAAGAAGAAGAGGAGGAGCGCCGTCGGGGCACTGGTGAGGCAAGCACTTCTCGGCCGTTGGATGTCCAACCCCTCCGGGTAGCCGAGGGCATAAAGAAGAAGAAGGCGAAGGCTGCCCCGAAGAAGAAACAAGCAGCCGTCGACGCGGGGCAGCCGGTTGGGATTCCCGAGGGCCACTCCTATCTGGACACTACCGCTCTCGAGGTGAAGACCACGGCCACGAGTGCTGAGTGTTATGCCCTGCAGGTCCTTGTGGGGCCGTCGGCGCTGGTTGTGGAGCCGGGCCCAGAAGATTTGCTGTCCCACCCTCCGGAGGGGTGTTTCTCGGTGCACATGTTGTCCGTGGAGTTAGGGCTCAGGTTCCCCTTGCATCCCTTCGTTCTGCAATATCTGAAGTTTGTGAAGTTAGCCCCCTGCCAGCTTACACCTAACAGCCACTATTACCTGGCGGGCTTCCTGGCTCTCTGCCGTAGTCGGAAGGTGGAGGCAACATTGGACCAGTTCTTCTTATCCTTCAACTTGTGCCGGGGGGGTCACTCACACGCCGGGGGGTATGCCAATCTGCAACAGGTGCCGGCCTGGAAGCTGTTTTCCGATACCCCTTCATCCCACAAAGAATGGAAGGAGAAATTTTGCTACATCAGATTAGCTGACAACCCGTTCCCGAGGGCTTTGTTGGACCACTTCCGAAGGCACCCGAAGGTAGGGAGCGCGGCTTTGCAGAAGGCCGGTAAGAAACTTACCGAGAAGCCTGAGGGCTCTGATAAGGTGATCACTATTAAGGATGCCACCCTGCCTGAGGAGTTGTATTTGCTAGGTTTCCTTAGGTATCGTCTGCCGGCGGAAACAGACGAGAAATACCCCAAGATTGATCGAGGGTACCAAAGCGCTGGAGGTTGTCGCCGAGGGCTTTCGTTTTTAGTACTTAGAATAATCTCCCTATTTTTTTTTTATGTTAACCTTTCTCCGTCTTTTGCAGGTGATATCATGGACGTCCAAGCCTTCGCCCGGTTGTCCAAAAAGTTGGCCAAGGTGCCGAAGAAGAAGAAGGAGGATGGGTCCTCGGCGAACCAACCCCTCGTTGATGAAGTCCTGAAGAAGGCCGGGGCCTCTAAGGCCCCGGAGGGTGAGGGGCCCTCCAAGGAAAGTGCTGCTGTAGATTCCGGTGCTGGTGCCGGGGGCTCCCAAGTTGGGGAGCTTAAGAGAAAGAATGCCGGGAAGGGCTCCAAGCCTCCGGTGACCAAGAAGTTGAGGGGGGCCGATGAAGGTAAGGGTGCCCCCCTGGTGATCCTTGAAGAGCCCTCCTCCTCCCACCTAGTGGATCTTGACGAGGGGGCTTGGCCGCAGGAGACGGTGCGGTTCTCCTTTAAAAAGGGGACTGCCATCGTCCATGGCACCCTTGACCCGAGGGAATATCTGGAGGGCGCCACTCCCCCCTTAGATCGCTCGACCCTCGGCAAATTTGAGGATGAAGCCCTCGAGCGAAGAGCACTTGAGGCCTCGGTCACTGTAAGTTCCTTCCCCTCACTAAGCATATGCTTTGCTTTTACATATTCCCTGTTTGCATGTTTTGACTTTGAGTGTCCTTTCCTTGCTTGCAGGCTAGCCTGGCTTTCGGAGAATATGTCCGGAGGATGGACCAAATTCGCCTCCGGAAGGCGGAAGACGATGAGGCCCTTAGGAGGCTCGTCGCAAAGAATACCGAGGCCATTAGGAAGATGGCTGAGCTAGAGGAGGCCCTGAGGCAGGCGGGGAACAAGTTGGAGGCCGCCAAGGTGGAGGCTCGCGCTGAGGGGAAGGCTGAAGCGGAGAAAGCCGCTGCCGAGGCCACAAAGCAAGCAGCCGAGGAAGCTGAGAAGGCCAAGGCTGAGGCCGTAGCCAAGGCTAGGGAAGATGGCATTGCTTCCTTCGTTGCTGAGGGATGGAAGGCCGAGGACCGCAAGGAGTGGGTGGCCTCGGTCATAGAACAAGGCGTCGAGGGCTGGGTGGCAGGCCCCGGGTCCGAATGGATGGCCCTGAAGGGCAAAAATTATTTCGATGGGGGTGAATTCTTCACCCAACGCCTGATTTATAGGAAGCTGGCCGGCCACTTTGGTATTGATCCTAGCAAGTTCGACCCCTCGGCCTACGGTCTTCCTCCCCGGCAACCTGATGTTCGGATCCCCCTTCCGGAGGGTGAAGAGAGGCGCCAGCTCGCAGATTCCGAGTTGATGAGGGAATGCGGTCTTGAAGATGAAGATGAAGTTGAGGACGACGCTACCTCAAAGACGAAGGAGGATGCAGCTGAGGGGGCCCAGACTTAGTTATCTACTTGTGCATAAATCTTGTAATAGCTTATAGGCCTCGGCTTCGGCCATGATTGTAAACAAGTAAACCTTCTTTTGTAATGAATGAATGTTTTGCCTACGGGCTTTATGAATTGAATGGATGCCTTCGCTCTTATTTTTACGCAAGCCTTCGTTTTGTTGAATGAATGTCTGCTTTCTCGGAGTCTTCAGGTTTGTGGACTTAGAAAATTTTTCTGAGTAATACTTGACAACAAGCCCTCGGTTGTAGTACAGGTTCGCCGGGGGATTGTAGTTGTGGGCTTAGGAAATTTTTCTAAGCAAGAACTTTGTCATGAGCCCTCGGCCGTAGCGTAGGACCATCGGGGGGCTTGAAGCTGTGGACTTGAAAATTTTTCCAAGCAAGAACTTTGTCATGAGCCCTCGGCCGTAGCGTAGGACCATCGGGGGGTTCGAAGCTGTGGACTTAGAAAATTTTTCTAAGCAAGAACTTTGTCAAGATCCTTCGAATGTAGTGCAAAACTTCAAAAAATAATTTAAGTAAAATCTCCTTGGGGGCCTTCGGCAAAGCATCCTTACAATACTTCCGAGCTGAAGCGATAAGACCGAGGGCCAAAATGAATTAGACTTAGGAAATTTTCCAAGTGAAATTGTATCATGTGGCCCCGGAAATGCTGGGCCCTCGATTAGCATTGTAGTCCACGGCCGCGAGCCGAGGGGTCCGCGGTTGTGGACTTTGTCAAATTTCCACAAAATTCCCATAGTTGTTGTACTGAACCCTTCGGAATGAGGCCCTTCTAAGCCCCCAGTGTGTGAGTCCACCGAGGGGGTCCAAGTTTATGGGGGAGGGTTGTTTTGTGATCTTGTCAACAACAAACCTTGTGAGTGGTCCCCGGTTGATAGCAGACTCAGTACCCCTCGGATATAATGTAGGGTCATCGGGGGATCGTTGTTGTTTTGGATTTGGTGAAATTTTGAGACAATCTCCCCCAAATTTCCCCCAAATTTGCAATAGGTGTTGTAGCGATCCTTCGAATGTGAGAATTGCTTGACCCTCCGGTGTGTATAGCTGCTGGGGGATCCAAAATCATGGTTAATGATTGTTCTCCGAGGGGTCCAATTTGTGGACTTAGTCAAATTTCCACAATATCCCAATAGTTGTTGTAGTGAACGTTCGAGCGTGGGAACTGCTCTGAGCCCCCAGTGCATATGGTTGCCGAGGGGTTCGAGATTATGGACTTAGTGAAATTCTGAGATGTGTTTCCCACAGATCTTGTGAGTAGCCCCCCGGTTCGATGAGTGTTTCCCGAAGGATGCTAATACGTGGACTTAGAAATTCTTTCATCCTTGAATGAGTCTGGTGACATTCTGCCTTCGGCCTGAGGCCTCCAGTTTGTGCACATATAGACTTAGTGAAGTTCTGCTAGTGAGCCCTCTTTTTGGGCCTCCGGTGGAAATTTTGTACTCCAAGGTTTCATGCAGTGAAGCCTTCGGCTATGTAGCCAGGTGACTTGTTGCTGAGAGACTTTCTTGTGCCTTTGTAGGAGCCTTCGGGAATATATATCCGAAGTGTTGAGCCTCCGGGGAGAATAGTATCCGGGGAGTTCCTTCCCCCCTACACATCTTTTTTTTTTTTTAGATGGTGTAGGAGAGGCATCTAGAAACTTGGTTTCGAGGAAAGACTTGGCCTATATGCGAGGCAACGGAATAAACCGTCGGCTCCCCCTTCGGGAATGACCTTCCGATATCCCGAAGGGTTTGAGGGTCGTTTCCTCGGCCCGAGACATCGTCTGTTGCCTGCTTCCCCTTGGGAGATAGCACGGAAACCGCCTCGGTTTTGAAAGTCGTCCCCTCAGCCCGAGACATGGTCTGTTGCCTGCTTCCCCTTGGGGGATAGCGCGGGGAGCGTTTCGTTTGTGGAAGTCGAATCCTGGGCCCGAGACATGGTCCGTTGCCTGCCTCCCCTTGGGGGATGGCGCGGAAAGCGTTCCTGGGAAGGGTTTTATTTGTGTGTGGGACACAAATAGCCGGGGGCACTTGGTGCCAGCCGGAGCCGAGGGGTGTTGCACCTCCCGTTTTTTTTTTTTTTAGGAGGATAGAGTATGTATAAGTACGCATAATGTATGCATGATTGCGTCCTCGTGGGGTACGGCTTAGTGAGAAAACACTTGGTGTTTTCAAAGAGTGATGGGGGTGACCCATACACTTGGTACTTGGTACCTAAATTGATGTTCCCCCTCATCAGAGGGAGAGGCCTTGGGCCTTTTATGGTGAAGAGATGAGGGGGCCTTGGGCCTTTTGTACAATATGTAGGTGGTGAAGGCTTGGCCTTTTGATTATCCTTCAAAAACAGATGGGGCCTTGGGCCATTGATCATTTACACTTGTTGGGGATGAGGGCTTGGCCGCTCATTGATAAAACTTCACTAGGTGGTGCACATTCCAATGTCTAGGAATCTCTGTCCCATTAGGACGTTTTAGCTTGTATGTCCCCGGTTTGATGATGGCTGAAACAATGTAGGGGCCCTCAAACTTAGGCGCCATCTTGCCGCCTTCGGTGGGCAGGCTGGCCTCCCTTCTTCGGAGGACGTAGTCACCCACCTGAAATTCCCGGGAGCGGACCTTGGCGTCGATGTAGCCTTTGACTTGTCTCCTATAGTTTTCGACCCTGAGGAAAGCTTGCTCTCGGCGTTCTGAGATGAGATGAAGGTCGAGGGCCATGTTGGCGTCGTTGACCTCGGGCTCATATTGTTCCACCCTTCGGGTGGGAAGAGTCACTTCTGTTGGAGACTTAGCCTCAAAGCCATAGCATAGGGAGAAGGGTGTCTCGCCTGTCGCGCGCCGAGGGGTAGTGCGATAGGCCCATAAGATGTTGTGAAGCTCTTCTACCCAGCCTCCCCCTTCGGCTTCCAGCTTCTTCTTCAACCCTTCAAGTAGGATTCGGTTGGCATTTTCTACTTGCCCGTTGCCCTGAGGGTAGGCAACGGATGAAAAGGTGTGTTTGATGCCCCATGCCTCCAGGAGGGCACAGAAGGGGGCTGCCTCGAATTGAGTTCCGTTGTCGGAGATGATTTGTTGGGGGACGCCAAACCTTGTGAGGATATTTTTGAGAACAAAGTGGCGGCACCGGGCTTCAGTAATGCTGGCGAGGGGCTCGGCCTCTACCCATTTGGTGAAGTAGTCAACGGCCACGATGATGTACCTGTTGTTGGAGGTACCCCTCGGCAGAGGGCCTACTAGGTCGATACCCCATCTGGAGAAGGGTAGGCGGTGCTGATGGGGGCGTAGTTGACCGCAGGTCTGCCGGGGGCCTTCTGAAAGTGTTGGCAAGCGGTGCACCTTCGGGCTATGTCAGCACAATCCCTAGCCATCGTGGGCCAGAAGTAGCCTTGAACTATGAGCCTTCGGGACATGGAGAAGGGTCCTTGGTGAGCCGAGCAAGTGCCACTGTGCACTTCCTCCATGGCGACCTCGGCTTCATCCTGATGAAGGCACCGAAGGAGGGTGCCGTTGTAAGATCTCTTGTAGAGCTTGCCATTCTCGAGGGTGTAGCTGGGAGCCCTCAGTTTTGTCAACTTGGCGCGGGCTTCGTCTTGGGGTAGTCGCCCTGTGACGATGAAAGTGATGATGTCGGAGATCCAATCCTCCGGCCTTAGGTTAATGTTCATGACGGGGCTCGCGTGGATGCTTGAGAGGCTCAGTTCCTCAATTCTTGCAATTTTTTAGAGGTGCTCGGGGGATTCATCCGAGAGCTTGGATAGGATGTCGGCCTCAGAGTTTTGAGCCCTCGGTATTTGGGTGAGAGAATGTGCCTCAAATACCTCAAACAACTCCTTGGCCGCTTCCTTGTACTGTTTCATCCTGCCTTCTTTGGCTTCGTATTCCCCGGAAATTTGACCCACGACAAGTTTGGAGTCACACTTAACGTGGATCATCTTAGCCTTCAGATTTGCCGCCAGTCGAAGGCCACAGAGGAGGGCCTCATATTCGGCTTCATTGTTTGATACTTTGAAGGAGAAGCGGATGGCATAATAGGCGCGGAAGCCCTCGGGTGTAATGAGGACTACTCCCCCTCCGCATGCTTTGGTAGCCGAGGAGCCATCGGTATAGAGGGTCCACCATTCGTCTAAAGGTGCCGAAGGCTCCTCATCCACCGCTGATCTCGCGGTACATTCCGTTACGAAGTCTGCCAGGGCTTGGCCCTTGATGGCAGGCCTCGGACGGATGTCAATGTTGTATTGGCTTAGGAAGATGGCCCATTTTACCATTCGGGAAGAACTTGTGGGGCTTCTCATGAGGGCGCCGAGGGGTTGATGTGTCAGGACTTAGACCGGATGAGCTTGAAAGTAGTGCCCAAGCTTCTTGACGGTCCAAATGATGGCTAGCACCGTCTTCTCGACGGGAGAGTATCTGAGTTCGGCTTCCCGGAGGGTCTTGCTGACATAGAAGATGGCATGCTGGATGCCGTCTTCCTCTCGGATTAGCACGGAGCTGATGGCGGCAGGGCTAACACCGAGGTATAAGTATAAAGTCTCCCCCACCTTCGGTTTGGAGAGCACTGGGGGGGAAGAGAGGTACTTCTTAAGTTCATCAAAGGCCTCTTGACATTCAGATGTCCATTGGAAACACGCTGTCTTCCTCATGATTTGGAAGAAGGGGAGGGCCCTTTCGGCTGACTTGGAGAGGAAACGGTTGAGGGCTGCCAGGCGGCCCGTCAACCGTTGGACTTCTTTGACGTTGCGTGGAGGCTCCA